GATCGGAACCTCCCAGATTCCCATCTCTCAATTCTTTGGATATCTTCCTCAGCCAACCCCAGACGTGATGCCTCAGTAGCACTCCCTATCTGAAAGAAGTGCCCCTCAAACTCTGCACTAGGCAGCCATGCGGAAAACCCTGATAAATTGGAACTGAGATAAGAAACTGGCATCCCAGTGAACCAACAAAGGACCCACGCCCGCTGGGTGAACCTTACAGAAAGCACAAAGATATGCCAAAGGTAGGTCCCCGGCACCCCGAGGGAGGGCAGGGGGCTAGCAGAGCTACTACGGGAAGAGGTAGGAGACAGCTGCCTCACACTACTCCCAGCCACCATCCCCACTTCAGGAGGGGAGACCTCTGCCCCCCAGGAGACACCCTTAAGCCTACTCACTAGGGATCGACCGATTATCGGTTTTACCGATATAATCGGCCGATATTCGGTATTCTCGGCAATATCGGTATCGGCTAATTCAGATACCGATATTGCCGATAATACCTCCTAGGACCACCAGGCTCATTACAAGCCCTCATGGGTTCAGTATAAAGACATGCTCCCCAGTGTAACTCTCGCGAGACCCGCGGCCGTCAGAGCGTTGCCATGGATCACCATGGCAACGCTCCGCGCGACACGCTGGCCGCGAGAGTTGCACTGGGGAGCTGGAGGAGCTGCTGGGAGGTGAGTAATCGCTTGCTCTCTGCCCCCCCCGCAGCTCAGCCAATACCACTGGACCACCAGGGACTGCTATATCCCCCCTCCCTGGCCAGGCAACAAGCAGGGAGGGGGGACAACAAAAATAAATAATAATTAATTAAATATAAAAATAATAATAATAATTTAATAAAAAATGCCCCCTCACACACTCCATTATATACACATACACTACACAAACACACTGTGTATATAATGCAGTGTGTGTGTTTGTAAAGTGTGTGTGTGTTTGTATACAATGCACACAAATACACTGCATTATATACACATTATACAAACACACACTGCATTATATACACACACTATACAAACACACTGTGTATATAATGCAGTGTGTGTGTTTGTATACAATGCACACAAATACACTGCATTATATACACACACTATACAAACACTGCATTATATACACACACTATACAAACACACTGTGTATATAATGCAGTGTGTGTGTTTGTAAAGTGTGTGTGTGTGTTTGTATACAATGCACACAAATACACTGCATTATATACACATTATACAAACACACACTGCATTATATACACAGTGTGTTTGTATAGTGTGTGTATATAATGCAGTGTGTGTTTGTATAATGTGTATATAATGCAGTGTATTTGTGTGCATTGTATACAAACACACACACACACTTTACAAACACACACACTGCATTATATACACACACTATACAAACACACACACACTGCATTATATACACACACACACAGTGTGTTTGCATAGTGTGTGTTTGCGTAGTGTGTTTATATAATGCACACTACACAAACACACTGCATTATATACACACACACTATACAAACACACACACTACATTCACTATACAGACACTACACAAATACACATACACTCTGCATTCATTATATACACACACACTTTGCATTTAGTATATACAGCATTCACTTTACGCACACTACCCACACACTACACAAACACTCTGCTTTCATTATATACACACTACACTAATACACACTGCATCCACTACACAAACACACATTGCATCCTCCACACACACTACACAAACACACAATGCATCCACAACACACACTACACAAACACACACTGCATCCTCTACACACACTACACAAACACACACAGCTCCCCTGTCACACTGCATCCACTACACGTGGCATGTATATTTTGTGCATTTACCTTTAGAAATAGTTTTTATTTTCCAAAATGGTAAATGTACAGAATATCGGCAAATTATATCGGCTATCGGCCTGAAAGTTCACAGAATATCGGTATCGGTATCGGCTCTAAAAAATCAATATCGGTCGATCCCTATTGAGAACAGGATAAAAATTTAGTTTGTCCAAATAATTTGATCAGATTTAATTATTTTATAGTTTAGATCATTTGCAATTTGTTCAGGCACCAATTTGCTTTGTCCAAAAATGTTAACGGAAATTATTGTAAAAATGGTGACATATCACATTACATACAGATTGGGACTCCATTTACCACATCCCTAGAAGGATCGAAGCTTTACTTAATTAACGTTTTGTATTGGTATATTCTTCACCGTTTCCATTATATTGTCCTTTTCTTTAAATATCATCTAAACTTGAAATATAGAAAAATACTTTTATTAAAATCTTATGAACCGTTTGTGTGAATTCGTGAAACATATTTTGTCTCTAAGGTAAAGAATCTTTCATTATTAAATATTTTTCTGTACGTAAGTAAGCACTTCAAGTGATTGACTGTAAGCTCGTTTGAGCAGGGTCCTCTTCAACCTATTGTTTCTGTAAGTTTTTGTAATTGTCTCATTTATTGTTAAATCTCCCCCTTTGATAATATTGTAAAGCACTACGGAATATGCTGGCGCTATATAAATACCAGCAATAATAATAATTATTAGAAATATTATTTTTACAGTGTGCTATTGAAATCTGCAACAAATATTATAGTTTACATACTCAAAGCCTGGCACTTGTTCTGTTCAGTAAGATGTGCAGATTAAAGGAGGTGGCTGATGATGACCAATGGGGCAAAAGTTTTTGGTAGGTTAATATTGATATATATTCTACCAAAACTTTCCACCATCACCGACTGACAAAGGGTGGATCCCACATGGCACACGACTCAGTTCCTGATTTAAGCTGCTCACATAGCATTCTGGACATGTGCATTGTGTGATTTGCTGCAGGTGCACACATTTCTGATCAGCGTAACTAAAATTCAAAACTCTATGGTAATGGCACGGTAGCAAATAATATTCTATAAATAAATCTATACATTTGCTAGCATAGTGTAGACGAAATCATGTTGGGGCAAAGAGCTGATAACCTGCTTCCTTGTGCAAAGTCCATCATCGCTATCAACTAACTGTGTTAGCAGTATTATAGTCCAGACATAACATGTCCATACAAGGTCACCCTTGGATGACATTGCATTGTCTATAAAGTAACACCTCATCAGTATAACTAAAATGATGTGATAGAATGGTAAAATGATATTGATGAAATGGTTGCTGAGACTTCATCTCTTTTTGTTCGACTTGACTTGCTTCCCTTGTATTTGTACATTGTTTTCCGGTTTAGGAGCTTCATTAACTGTGAACACTTCCGCTCTCTTCTTCCTCTGAAATGTATAGCACTCCACCTTCTCTTCAGATGCCACAGACCTAGTGCTAATCAGACCGAAGCCCTCCTTTAGTAAAATATCCAGCAAGAGTCCGAGAACATTGGTCCCATTTAACAGTTTCCTTTGATCAGGTTTTATGGAGACATACCTATCCAACGAGAAATGCATGATTAGTGAAGCTCTTGCCATATGTCATAGAAAATACTTACCAGGCAATTAACAAGATAATTGCAACATGTAGGTCACAATAGCTGATAGGAAGATACACGCCTAATATAGCCAATGTTGAAAAATAATAAAAGATTATTTATTTCTAGAACAGCTATTTTGGGCAAAACATCTCAATTCCCAAAAGGGACACTTCACTGCCCAAATAAATAAAATAAAAAATAAATATGCATTTCTTTTTCATTGTGGTTTACTTACAAACAGCTGGTCTGGTCCCTGTGCAAACTCTTCTCCCTTCTAACCCAGCTCAGACTTTCTGTGGCTGTCCCCAATGCAGCTCAGTAAGAAGTCTTTGCAATGCAGGCGCTCTAAGTAATCGTCTGCCTCTTAAGTTTAAAGGGCCAGTCCCAACCCATAAAGTGCTCCAGCTGAGGGGTATCCTATTTTTAGCCCAGTTTATAAAAGTGCCCTTTTCTATGAGAAATCGGCACTTTTAGGAATAAATCATGAAACACCAGCCTGACTGTCAATCAAACAGCCAGGTAGGTTTACGGCCTTCTTGCATTAGCTCCCCTAGACAGACGCACAGATCTCACAGCAGCATCTTCACACCTCAGTTCAGCTCCTTCACAGACCACAGATCAGTATGTCTACTAAATAATGAATTTTATTTTAAAATTAATAATTCATTTGGAGTGGTCCTTTAACTCCACTGAGCTAAACAATCACAAAGTAATAGGACCAGTTGTCTGATAGCACCTGTTGTAAAATAAAAAAAAATAAAAAAAAGAACGACTTTAGATGTTTGGAACGTACCTTTAATTATTCAGAATCCCCACAATGCCCTGTGTAGTGAATATAGTCCTACATCTCTAGAACTCTAGGAAGGTAAATGTAATCGATTCTATGAGCTAGATTCTGCTGGGGGAGTTTGATATTCTTATTTAGGAAGCCATACAGAGTTAGTGTAACAGAGTATAAGTGGGTTGGTGAACATACTTGAGAATATTTGAAATGAACTGATTATGTTGCCCCTTCTAATAACCCATATTAAATACCGTTACGGGTGGCATTGGACTGGACAATCCAGACATTATTCTCAGAATTTACTTTATTTATTTTGCAGTAAAGCCTCAAATTTAATTTGAATGAAACCTTTTTTTTAGATGATTAGGTTACTTTAATATTCATATTAAAGGGCAACTGTCTTTTTAATTTTATTCCTTTCAAATTTACACTAGTGAATAATAAGAGTTACTACACTGTTTTCTTCACATCTATAATCCAGTCTAGACAAGGCAAAACCATGACAAAACAAGAAGAGTAGAAATAGAAATAGTGTTATTTCATCTCTTCTCTGTATGCTTTCTCTATGCGGACTTCCAGTAGAGCTTGCAACAATGATTGACAGGGAGCTAAGATGGAGGCACCCAATTGTAGGAGAAATAGGTGTGGTTCCTAAATTTAATTAAACTTTTTTACACCTCACAAATACATATAAGTTAAATATAGGGATGAGTAAATGTCGTATAAAAAAAAACAAAAAAAAAACAGAGTAAGTGGCAGTTCCTAATATTCCTAAATATATTGGTATTTCGTCCTACCTCTGCATTGCAATTAGTATCCATACTCCTAAATAAATTAATTTTTTTAACAATTTCTGCACCAACTATAAAACAACATTTTACTTTTGCAAAGCTAGATGGATAGATTAAATTATCAAGTGTCTTACAGTATGCCTACATCCATTACTAAAAATATATATATATGTATAAATATAAATCTATTACTTAATAAAATGTCGGGCTTTCAGTTGTTACCAGTCCTATGGTAACATATGCTCTCCTATTCCACTGACTGCCAAAAGTATAAGTGGCTGGTAATATTTTTGGGGGAGTTACAGTTGGAGATCTGGTGGTATTTTTCTACTCGTGTAACATATGAACTATACACAAATAAATATTGTCCATTAAAAAGATTTCAATAAATTCAGGGACCTGTTTGTTGGTGAGGATTCCTCTCTTCCTTTATTCACCCTGTTAAACACTATTAAATCACTCACAGCTGTGTTTAATTACATATTTTGAATGGTAATCACCTGGCTCCAAACTGATCTCCAGTGGCATAGTCTGTTCCACACTGGAATATGAGGTCATGATGTGAGGGTCTTTGTAGAGGCACCGGTGCCAGTGGTTTTTGTGCCGAGAATGGAAAGGTCCAGCTCTGTCCTCCGATCGGTTGCTCCACATACATTATAACCCGGTCTGCCAGCATTTCAATAGTGCTACTACATGAGCAAAAGATGCGGAAATAAGAGTGGGTTTCCTGGACAAGAAATCGCACTTCCAGGATCTCCAGTCTAGGCAGATAAAAGCTCTCATGGCCAAGCAAATCTGCCAGGTTTTGAAGTTGGTAAAATTCTGCTTCTCTTTGCAGTCTCTCGTAATCTGAGAAGTCAGGAGGTAGGGAGAGCTGGGACGTCCTCAAGAAATCAAGAATATAGCTAAACAAAGTCCCATCTCTGTCTACAAAGACTTGACCATTCACCATCCTAAACTCACGATCACTGCCATCCAACATGTGCGCCAGCCTGGACTCTGGAAATCTCATCAACGTTGAGGGAAATGTGGTGAACTTTGTACCTCCAACATTTACCGTGACTACCTCTTGATTGCTCATCTCTTCCACGTTCAGCTATGTGTTACTGTCTAAGAGATCCCACTGACAAAGTTTTGTAGTAAGTTAGACACAGTTAAAGTCTTTTACCGGCCACTTTGCCTTTGCCACTCCCCAGCAACAATAAGCCAAACACAAGCAGAGCAGAGCAGTTTGTCGTTTTCAGTTGCTGGGAAACTTCTAGGACTCTGAGCTTCTATGAATAAACCAAGTACTATTTACATACAATACGTCGGTGATAATATATTATGCAATTCTAGACTGGCCATGGGGTTTAACCATTACAGTCACAGATGATGGATGTCTGTGATAAAAAGATCCCACTGTAACACTTTGTAAAGGCATTAGTTCATTTCTATGTTTTGTTAGCCATCTTGCAAACAAATGTGTAATTTATTATATTGTTGTTTTATTTTTTATTTTATTTAAACTTTTTACTGACCAGCTTACAACTACACATAAATTCACACGTTAATTCGTATACTGACATCCACAATTACGGTTAGTTATAGTGTTATATTATGCTCTTTTACAATTCCTGTATTGAGAGAGAACATCAAACATTACTTGTGGTCATAGAACTACAGGTGATACTTGAAAAATTAGAATATCGTGATATGGGGTTTTAATGAGCTGTAAGCCATAATCATAGCGCTTATGACAAATCACGGCTTGAACTATCTTGCTTTGCATGTAATGCGTCTATCTCATATATTAGTTTCCCCTTTTACGTTGCACTATTGGCAATAGGAGGGCATTGGCACTAATTAATGTAATGGGATTTGGCATCTCCTTACATAGTTTCCCAACATAATACTATAGTCATCTGCTCTATATGTTATGCATAGTGTTTGGGCTGAAGAGGGTAAGCTTTGATATTCACCTCTTCTACGTGTTTAACTCACTACCCCTCACA